GGGAAGAATTGATTTTGAATAGTGATATGATGGGAAATGTGTGGTTGAAAAAGAAGAAAAAATTATTGATGTAATGGAAAATATTATTTTATTAAAAAATGTATGGTTGAAAATGAGAATTGATTTACTGTAGAAAAATCTAATCTCTCCCAAACAGGGTCCTAATCTCATCAAGAAAGTAAAGAGGAAACCATCTATCTCGAGCACGCCCACTTAATCATCCTATTGACGCTTCCAATTTATTAAAGATGGAGTTTTATCAATTGAAAAGTTAGCGCATGTTCCATTAATTTAAAAATGCATTTTTTTATTTTCTTTTAATCATACATTCTCCAATAAAATAATATTATACATAAACCCAAAATTCTTTCCTTTTTTAACTACACATTATTAAAAAAAATCAATATTTCAAAATACATTTTTTCCAAAAACTAATTATAATGGAGCTCAAATAGGGCTTAACTATGATTTTCTCTTGTATAATACATTTTTTTTGTTGGGCCGATATGTCTGTGCTTTAAAAGCCATGTTTTAGGACTAAGAATCGGGCCTCTAAAGCTCAGTTGTAGGTGTTTTAGGGCAATAGGTTGAATTTGTATGTTTTTATCTAGTGGAAATTAGAAACAACCAAAGTTTTAAACTTTTCAATTCAAAATTAAAATATACAAGTTTTTTTTTTCCAAAAATCAGAAGATATTTAAATTTTTAATAATTTAATTTTAAAAAATAAAATTAAAACATAGAACCCCATTCCACCTCCCAAATCGCAATCCTAAATCTCTCTCTCTCTCTGTTCTACTTTTCTCTCTCTATATATTTTATCTTTATCCCTCTCCCTACCTACCACCTCTGTATTCTGGTCGGCCAATCAGCACAATGCAGCAGCACCGCTCGGGAAGGTGGCACAGAAGGTTGTGAGCACAGCGGCGCCTCGCGAGAAAAGTGTCGGTATAGGCTTTCTGGTAGTTTCATGCGAAGATCCCATCGGCCATCGTTCATCGCAGACGCACTCTTAGCTATTCATTAGCGGTTCACATATCTCAGATCGCTTCTTTCAGATCGCCACTGCAGCTTGGGGATTCATCTGGTAAGATGACCAAAGACCATCGTTAACTTGTGTTTTACAATTGTTGGGGACGATGTGGTGGTAGCGGTGTGGTGATAATGGTGTTAATGATGGTGGTGAGGTGGTGGATACAGATTCATACTCCGATCTCACTGCGATGGTGGTGGCGGCGACGGCTACGGCTACAGATTTAGATCCCGCTACAATTGGTGGTGTTTGTGGTTTGGTGGTGGTTATGGTGGTGTTTTGCAGGTAGAGGTGCTAGCGGATCTGGCGGTGATGAGCATGGTGGTGTTTTGGTGGTGGATATGGGGTGGTCAGCATGGCGATGAGTTGTTAAGGTTTTTATTGGTGGTGCAAGTGGAGGTAGCGGCAGTGGGGGTGGCGGTAGATTATGGTGATGGTGGCGGCGGCGGCGGTGACCTATGGCTAGGTGCGGTGGTGGTGTTGTTAATAACCCAAATAGTTACTGAACTTTGCAAAAAGTTTTCACATGGTCACCGAACTTTAAAAATCACTCAAGTCATCACTGAACTTTATAAAAGGTTTACACGAGGTCACTAAACTTTAAAAATCATTACATTCATCACTAAACTTTGTAAAAAAATTTCTCTGGGTCACTGAACTTTGCAAAAGGTTTCCCAGATGATCACTGAATTAGTGAGCAGTGATCCACTGAGAAACTTTTTGTAAAGTTTAGTGATGAATGAGATGACTTTTAAAGTTCAGTGATCCCGTGTAAACCTTTTGCAAAGTTCAGTGATGACTTGGGCAATTTTTAAAGTTCAGTGACCCTGTGAATTTTTTTTTTTGCAAAGTTCAGTTACCATTTGGGTTATTAACCCGTGGTGGTGTGTGGTGTTGTTTTGGTGGTGGTAGCAGTGGTGACTAGTGGTATGTGCGGTGGTGTTGCTGGTGCGGTTGGTGATGGTGGTGTTGCAAAAATGGCGGCAGCTGGTAGTGACGATGTCAAGGATGGTTGATATTATTTTTGTTGGGAGTATATTAGATCTAGTGGTGGTGGCTTTGTTGGTGGTGGTGTAGTGACGGCGACGGCGACGGCGGCAACGAAGGGAGTGTCTGTGACCAATTATTTGGTTGATTTGTGACCAAA